TAAATTAAAAAAATGGATATAAAAGTCGTCCTCCTCTTTCTTTCTTGGTAGGCAGCGCAAACCACATCAGCGTGTGTGGCCCACTAATTGCATTTTACATGGAGCCAGCCTCTATGATGAAAGCTCTACTTTGTGCTTTGGTGTCACTTTTAATATGTAAAGCAGATGTGTGTTTAATGGCCGAGCCCATCGGCGGTTGTGTAGGAGAGTCGAGCGCCCACCGGGAGCCCACCAGCATGTACGCTAAGGCTACTTACCGTAAACATTGCTGATGGTTTTCATTGTGCCAACACTGGAAGTGTTGTGGTGGTTGCCTTTCGTGCAGATGTCAACGGTTCGATTCTCTGCCAGTGCTGTCAGACCCAGCTGCTGTCGGTCCCGAATGCACATCGAAAAAAACAAAAAATCGGAATGGATTTCCCGCTTCTCTTTATAGATGAACATTATGCAGTTTCATTGAAGAAAGAATTTTTTTGTTTTTTACTTTTGTACCATTTCCTTGAATCGGTACTCTTTCCACTTAAGTACAGGCGTTAAATCAATATTTGAAGAGTTGAAATGCAAAAAAAATCACCCCCACAAAATCTCAATTTTTGTGAATTTGGTCAAATTTTTATTTTTGTTTACTGTTATATCTGGTCATTTTTAGACGTGATATTTTAAGATCATATGAATGAAGCAATTAAAAGGCTAATTTGGAAAAATAATCAACCCTTCCCTGAAAAAGTCTTCAAAAACAGACAAGGCCAAAAATATTCAAATAACAACAAAATGTCAAGTATTATGCTTTGTGAATACAAATGAATAACAGCTGAGTGTATGACAACTACATTCTCTTCAACTAACCTGTAACCTTAACTTCAATGAAGCATTGATCCCAACCCTTCAACATGGGATTGTTTCATGCAATTCAACAATGTTGTCATATTTCACGCTCAATGTCGAGCACAATCAAATCGATACTTGAGACGAGATCGCAAGACATCACGGCACAAACATGTTTCAGTGGCCTTAATACATACGGACTCATGCTTGACTCGAAAGGACGTGCGCTAGCTGCAGTGAACTCTTTAAAACAGACAAAGGCAAAAAAATAATAATGATACTAACACAGTGTTTCCAGACGTCGTATTTGTTTCGAGGACAACAATCAACGGTGTCGATTTGGCCGCAAGTGGTCATGGGTGCAGCTTCCGGCTAATTGGCTCACGCGTCCGATCCCATCTCGGGATTAAGAGTGCTGGGATATCAGCAGCCGCACAGCTGATGGCAAACACAGACACATTACATGCAGCTTTAGCAGAGAGACGTATTCACTTTACGCCAGGGAGCAGCGATAAGCCACATTCACATTTCGAGATGGCCGATCTCTTTTTAGTGCGTGCCATAGTGTGTGATCGCGCTATATTTGTATGTCCAGTTGATATGCCTTTCTCGTGTGGTGTGCGACCTCAACCTACAAGTTTAATTTGTTCCATGAATAAGATTACATTTGTTTTTATCTTGTGAACGAGATTCAAGATGCTAGGCGGTTTTCATGTGTTTGCCTGCTTGTTAATTCACTCGCTAACAAACTTATTAGCGCTTCATTTATTTAGCTAGCTAGCGTGTTCGTTAGGTAGTTAGCTTACCCAAAAAGTACTCAACCAGTCGTTTATCTAGTTGGCTAGTGGGGTAACATTATAATCCCCAGTTGTCACAGCAGCACAGTTTTCCCAAAAGGAGTGGCATTTTGGCCAATTTTTTTTTTCCCCCTCATGGCAGTTTTCTCACGGCCTTTTAAAATATTTGTGGCCAAACCTAGCAAAACGCAAAACAAACAGGGCAAAAATGTGACAAGTACTGCGGGAATACGGACCCCATCCATGTTCCGTTCCCGTTTTGTTGGATTCAAGTTGTTTGAATATTGATATATTCAAAAATATTTCAGTGTTAAACAAATCTTACTTTGCAAATGATTTCACACTCATTTGTTAACGTATTCCGGCTCACTCAACTTGTTGGCTTCACTTTACTGTGCCTATTCATGTTACATAAGACAACCCCCCACTCCCCCACTTAACCCACTTCCCCCGTCTTTTATTTTGTTCAGCTCACACACACACACACACACACACACACACACACACACACACATGGACGAGCGCAGCTTGGCGGGCGTCCTGAGCGGCTCACTGCCTTTCAAAGAGCTCTTTGCCCGCCGTCCTTTTGATGCCGGCTGGCCAGCACAAATGTTGTCCTTTGATATGAATTTGTCCTCATTCTCCACACTGTGAGGGCAAATGCAGCAGCCCGGAGCCAACCATGCACACCAAAACCACGTCCCGATGACGCCCCGCGTCCGAGTGGCTCATCCTCCGGCTGGAGGCCCACAATGCAGTTGTCTTGAGGGCCGCTCTTGTCTGCGACCAGTTTTTCATATTAGGGCTGAGCGATTTTGAGAAATAATTTAGTTGGTTTCTGGACCCTAAAATGAGAACACAAAAGGAGCTACATCCGGCCAACCGGACTTTAACTCCTGATGTTCCTCCTCAAGCTCCGCCTCTTAAAGGCATCTGTAGACACAAAATGCTACACGATGTACAGTAATTGCCCTTCATCCCGACAATTTACAAACTAACGTCGAAGCTGCTGTTAGCTACAGCTCACATGCACACACTCGCCTGCATGACAACGTGCCAGGCCCCGCCCCTTAAAAGCATATGCATGTACACAGACCCTAAAATACGCACAGTAAAAATGTTCAAATTAAAATGTGGGTTTGAATAAGTTTATGTTATGTGTGTTTGTACGAACATAGTAAAAAAAAATGTCAACGATAAAATGCACGGAATGAGTCCTTCGCGTCAGCATGACGACAAAGTTGAGTAGCGAGTCCCCACCGAGGTTCGCACTGGAATCCACGGCTCAGCTGTGAGGTTTGAAGCAGCGCTTTCCAAGGAATGCAGCATGGATGTGTCAAATGTGTGCGCGTGTGTGTGTGTGTGTGTAACATTCCAGGCACTGTTAGAGGCATGCGAATTACGTCTTACCGAGCGGGAATGTGAAGAATCTACTGCCACGAAAAGACCACTTTTGTTTACCGACACAGTGCTGCCAAGGAGCTTGAGCATGTGTGTGTGTGTGTGTGTGTGTGTGTGTGTGTGTGTGTGTGTGTGTGTGTGTGTGTGTGTGTGTGTGTGTGTCCGGGCGTGCATGCGCGTCACATGCTCATGCCACTTCCTGATAATAAAGGCTTCAGTCATGATTGTAATTACAGCGGAACCCTCTGAAGTAGAACACAAGCTGATCCTCCATTTTATTGTGGTTTCAAAACACATTTCTTTTTAGTTGGTGCGCTAGCACAGGGGTCCCCAAACGCCGGTCCGCGGACCGGTACCGGTCCGCAGGGCATTTGGTACCGGGCCGCACAGAAAGAACTTGCCTTATTTCCGTTTTATTTA